CGGCAATGCAATATGATTGACTCTTAGAGTAGTGGCATCATCTCATTCGACAATGCAATATAAATAACCTTCAGGGTAAGAATATTGTCATATCTTATAATATAATGCAGATGAACGTCTTCTAGGTATTTTTAGTTGCTGGAAAATAATAATATTGATCTCTTCGTGGTTTTCGTTTGTTCCATCTTCGAACATAGTTGCAATGTTCATTATGAACCTTGCTTTGCTAAGAATTTGAATAAAAGAATGTTACTCATATTCCCAACTCTTGGGTATAAGAAGTGTTTTATCGAAAAAGAAATAAAAGACTATGACTTGTTTCGAAAAATCGACTAAACTTATAGTTTGAAGAGAAATTGATTTTCCAAAAGAAACAGAGTCGCCACTTAATTGTTTAGTAAAAATCAAGAAAAAACTTAAGGTTTTCAAAAGACTCAAACAGATAAAATCTATTGAAAATAAAAGAGTTCGAAGTTCAATGTACATTCCGAGAAGGTGTTAGGCCCTCGGAATGTCCGCTAACTTGCGGTTGACTGGCGATTTGACTAAAAATGACTTTGACTAATTTTTGAGAAAATATTAACTAAGTAAAAAGAAATTCGCTTTTTATTTATTTATTTATATATTTACATTTTTATATTCATTATTATTATTATATAATTATTTTAAGGGAATATGACTAAGGGAGATTTTCCTAAAGGGAAATAAATTAAGTGTTGACAAGACTAATATTAAAATAAGAACTAAATAATAAAATATATATACCTTAATTTGAAAATAAAATGAAATGACCATCCTTGGGAATTTGATTAAATTGAACCATAAGATAATCAAAGTGTTAGTCAAATACAATAAAATAAATAAGGGAGGGAAGGAAATAATTAGAGTTGAACTTTGGCCCAAATCCAATTAAATTGGCCTTTTGGCCCACTTGCTCTCCTTCAATTTTCTGATTTGTCTCCTTAGGTTTTGGCCTACTTTTGCACCACCTGCAACCTGTATTTCCATTTTTTAAAACCCGTGTACTGTATTTCCGGCTGTATACCAATGTATACAGCGGGTATATCAGTGTATACAGACCATTTTTCAGCCTGATTATAGCTTTCCAAGGCATATTTTCAATTTCCAGCCACTGTTTTTCATGTATAAACTTGTGATTTCGAACTTGACACCGAAGGAGACGATTTGAGAAGAGTTTCGGGCCTAAATGGGCCATTGGAGATGCAAGTCGAAGGAAAGAGCTCCATCGGGCTCATCACACGGGTTCATGCATCAAAACGGGAAAGAAGCAATTAGTATAACTTGAAAGACTTCGAATAAAAGCTAAACTTTTAAAATCTGCACCTTATAATGCAAAATCAAAATTGGGAATACGCACTAAAATAATTCAGGTAATATTGTTTTTATTAATATGAATAGTAATTGATAGATAGACACGTTCAAAAGGGCACTCAACAACAATGACAACTAGTATAAAGGGATTAGGAGAATAATCAAATTGACAACAGAGAAGGATTAGGGTGATAAGAATGTCTAAGTTGATCAAATTAATTACTCATGTCAAAATCTCATAATTTATATAACTAAAAGCGAACATGTTTTCAACAATACGATCAAAAGTACGACAAACAACTAGTTGGAACAAGTCGAAATATATCATCCAATCCAAGCACTCTAAATGCGCACTTTTTAAGACAAAATAGGCGAACCTGATATCTGAAATAGATTACATCAAACAACACTTCAATGTAAATCTGGAAATTTAAGTAAGCACACATAATTTATCAAATGATACCACTAGGTGAATCAGGTTATGGTTTAGATGAACATTAAATTCTAAATCATGAGGTAAAGTAAAGTAAATTAGCTTAAAGGCCTCTCTTTAAGAACTAAAAAAAAATATAGGTGCATTTCTTTTGTGATAAAGAGATAGTGATTCAAGGATCATCCTGGAACAACCTACATGCTACAATGCTTCACACGAGAAAGGTCAAAATCGACATTTAACACACCAATATAACCTTAAAAAAAACAAGAACAATAACTACAATTTGAGCAAAACCGAAACACATGGATACATGGAATAAGACCCACAAGCCAAACATAATGAGATTTAGACTCGATCTGGACGGAAATAAGCACAAGAAACTGCTGGATAACTACTTCGACACCCTCTAAATGCACGACACACTAGCATTTCAGCAAATATGGACGAAGCAGTATCAAAACGATTAAAAAATGAATAAATAAAAATGAAATGGGCGCAACCACCAAGAAAACTCGAGAAGAGCCATAAACAGAGGAAAAGCAAGCTTGAACGGACGATGAATCATCTTGAAAACAAAGCACATGTATATCAGTTTCAGAAAGGATTGACATGAAGAGAAAGATTTAGGCTTGAGCATGTCATATAAAATCCTCTTTGGATCGACAGAGGACAAAACACGATTCAATTTATTGAACTCAAAACAAATGAAAGAGTCATGAGTTGTCTACCTTGTGCGGGCAGCGAACGGGGACAGGGACGAGCTAGGAGACAACAACGAGTTCCACACCGATTTTATACTCGGATAGCTAGCTCAGCAGCTCAAATCGACTCCCAAAAAGGACTCTTCTCCGGACTTGGAAATAGAAAAAATCGTATTCAAATTTCTTTAAGTAAAAATCGATTGTTCATAAAAAAAGTTCCAACTTTTTCTCTAATCCCCCCAACACTGAAAGAAGAAAGAGGCTTTTATAGAGGAGATCTAAGGCTGGAATATGGGGGGAAACAGGTGAAGAATTTCAAATTTGAAATTTGAATTCCTCTTGAAGGGATAAGGTTGAAGCTGAAATTCGGACGAATTCCCAACAGAATTGAGAGGAACCGTCCGATTCGAGGAGCAAGGACGCTTCTCGCATGAGATTTCTCCAGCTGGACGATTCTTGAAGCTTCCTCATGCAACTGGGCTGCTACTGGTCCGAGTGTTCTTGGACCGCGATTTGGATTTGGGTCGCGATAAGGTTCTGGGTTTCGATTTTACTGTAGTTCGCGTCTTCTGCTGGAGAAGAAGAACACGCGTATGGGGGTGGGGTATTGCGTTGTATTATTGTCGTGATGTTTGGAATGGGTTTGGGTCTTTTGGTGTTGCTGTAAAGAATTGGAAATGGGCTAAAATAAATTGCTATTGAGTTTGGGAATTGAGGGAATATAGTGGGCCAAATCCTGGCTGAAAATTGATCCAAAACTGGGGGCAAAAATGTGGCTAAAATTGTAATTAGGAAATGGCCAATTGAATTACAATTATAACCAACTTGGATTTTATAATTTAGCCATATTGAATTATTGTAGAGAATTCGGCTAGAATTTATATAAGACAAATTAATATAAATTAATTAATGAGCTTCTTAATCTTAACGAAATGAAATAACTAACTTAATTATAAACTAATTAATTTAAAAATATTAAACTATTACTTAAACCAAACTAATTGACAAAATATTTAACTAAAACTAAAATCTTTTTGAGATGATTTTCGAATATTTATAAAATATACTAATTATATACATAATTATATAAAACAAAATTAATATTTAAAATATTATAAAAAAAGGTTAAAACCACTTTAAAAACTTGAAATATATATATTTTTTAATTTTTTTTATAAAACTAGTTATTTCACATCATTGGAAATTAAAGAAGCTCGATGATTAATCTATATTGTGGAGGTCCGAAATTGGGTGTCAAAGAAGCATAAATATTTTTCTGCATCCACAGAAAAATTGTTAGTTTAAAGTGAACTGATATATGTCGATCTCTTCGATTGTCTCTTCCTTGTTTTGCTATCTCCGGTTGATTTCTCCGATCTCCCGCCTCTTGATAGATAAGACAAAATATTTTATGCAAAAATAATTAAATCATGAAAGAAAAGTTTTAAGAAAAAATAGATTTTCAAAAGTAATATTTGGAAAGGTCACTGCCAAGTGTCATGCCACATCGAGCTTTAGCGAACGCCTTTGAATTTGATGCCTCGAAGTGTATCTGATTACTTGCTGGAAAGCGTTCAAAGTTGCTCTAAACTGCCGGTGAAGCTTGTTGAAATTTTTTAGGTTATCCTCAAAAAATTCTGTCCCAGCTAATTGTCGCGGCATATCTTGAACTGTTGATGAACCAGTCATGAAATTTTTGAGATCCTCTCAAAAATTCTATCCCAGTTGCAATTCTCAACGTAACTTCAGTCTTGACTTTGTTGGAGAGATCTTCTCTTGAGAATTTTTTAGTCCCTCTCAAAAACTCTGTCCCAGTTTCTATTATAAAGAACAATAGAAATCTTATGGGAGGTATGACCCAGCCGTTGTGGTGCCTACGTATCCCGTTGAAACAGGAATCAGGTCAAACGTAGTTCCCCATCTCGAGGACTAACAAAAATAAGAAATTAACAACGAAACCGACCGAGGCCAACATAGACCGCCTACGTGTCTCATTCTTGAGAATTCAGGTCGAACATAGTTCAGATACAAAAGGAAACATTAAAAATGAGTCGAGGAGTGACTGAGGCCAACATAGGCTGCCTACATATCTCATTCTTGAGAATTCAGGTCAGACGTAGTTCATTACAAGAGGGATAAAATTCTAAACAAAGCGATTACAAGCAAATAGAACGATTACAAGAAAATGACAGAAAATACAAACTGAAACTTCACACATAATATCTCTTGACAGCATCTGAGTTGATCAATTTCGGCCATTCGGTGCCATCCATCTCCGACAGGACCAAGGAACCTCCAGATAATACTTTGCGAACCATGTAGGGTCCTTGTCAATTTGGCGCAAATTTTCCTTTGTACTCATCCTGATGAGGAAAAATGCGTTTGAGAACCAATTGGCCAATTTCGAATATCCTGGCTCTTACTTTCTTGTAGAAAGCACGAATCATTCTCTGTCAATAAAGTTGACCATGACAAACAACAACCATTATCTTCTCATTAATCAATGCCAGTTGATCAATCCGCTTGCGAACTCAATCGGCATCACTCAATTCATCTTCTTGGATTATCCTCAATGAAGGTATCTCAACCTCGGCAGGTATATCTGCTTCTGTTCCATATACTAACAAATACGGAGTTGCCCTAATTGATGTTCTGACAGTTTTTCTGTAACCCAACAAAGCATATGGCAACATCTCATGCCAACCTCGGTGATTGTCAATCATTTTCCTCAAAATCTTCTTGATGTTCTTGTTGGCGGCTTCTACGGCCCCATTATTTGGGGACGGTAGGTGGTTGAGTTCCAGTGAGTAATCTTGAATTGTTCATATATCTCTCTCATTAAGTGACTGTTGAGATTCGCTCCTTTATCAGTAATGATGAATTTTGGTACTCCAAACCTACATATCAAATTATTGCGAACGAAAGCAGCTACTACTTTCTTGGTCACCGATTTATACGAAGCTTCTTCTACCCACTTGGTAAATTGGTCAATGGCTACCAAAATGAATCTGTGTCTGTTAGAAGCGGCTGGCTCTATTGGACCAATGACATCCATGCCCCAAGCTACAAACGGCCAAGGTGAACTCATAGCATTGAGTCGTGAGGCGGCACCTGAATCAAATCTCCATGCACTTGACATTTATGACATTTCTGCACAAACTTGCAATAATCATGTTCCATAGTCTTCCAAAAATAGCCGGCTCGAAGGATCTTCCTCGCCAAAGTGAGCCCATTCATATGAGTACCACAAACTCCAACATGTATCTGTTCCAGAAGCTTCGCAACTTCACTAGCATCAACACATCTAAGAAGACCTAAATATGGAGTCCTCCTATAAAGGATTTCCCCACTTGCAAAGAAATTGAGGGCCATACGGCGTATCGACTTCTTCTGGTTGAACGTTGCATTCTCAGGATAAGTCTCGGTCTCTAAATACTTCTTGATGTCAAAATACCAAGGCAAACCATTTGGTTCCGCTTTAACATGTGAACAATGGACAGGCTGCTCTTTTACCTCTATATCCAAGGGATTAATATAACTTGTATTCTGATGTTTAATCATCGAGGCAATGGTGGCGAGAGCATCGGCCAACTCATTTTGAGTCCTGGGAGTGTGTCTGAACTCAATCTCGCGGAACCTTTTGCACAACTTCTGTATATACTGCACGTATGGTGTAATCTTCAGATTCTTCACGGCTTATTCTCATTGAACTTGATGAATCAGCAAGTCTAAGTCTCCAATAACCAAAAGCTCATGAACATTCATGTCAATGGCCATCTTCAAACCAAGGATACAAGCCTCGTATTCTGCCATGTTATTCATGCAATCAAATCAAAGTTTAGCTGCCATAGGATAATGTTGACCGGTTTCTGACACTAAGACAGCTCTGATACCTTTCACTTGGTGATTCGCCGCTCCATCAAAGAACACTCTCCAACCCGGGTACGCTTTAGAAATATCTTCACCCACAAATGCTACTTCTTCGTCGGGAAAATAAGTTTTGAGTGGTTCATACTCTTCATCAACCGGATTCTCCGCAAGATGATCAACTAGGGATTGTGCTTTTATCGCCTTCTGAGTCACATACATAATGTCAAATTCACTTAAAAGCATTTGTTATTTAGCCAACTTCCCGTATGACATTGCTTTCTAGAAAAAATATACTTCAACGGGTCCATCCTGGAAATAAGGTATGTGGTATAAGAAGACAAATAATGTCTCAACTTATGCGCAATATAGGTCAAAGCACAACATGTCCTCTCCAAAATAGTGTAACGAGCCTCATATGGAGTGAATTTCTTGCTCAAATAATAAATGACTCGCTCCTTCTTCCCAGTTTCAGCATGTTGACCAAGCACACATCCAAATGCGTTATTTGAGATAGACAGATATAGCAACAATGTGCTCTCTTCCCATGGAGGAACCAATACCAGTGGATTGGACAAATAGTTCTTGATAGCATCAAAAGCAGTTTGATATTCTCCTGTCCACTTAGTCAAAGCATATTTTTTCAACAACTTGAAGATTGGCTCACACACCACGGTGGACTGAGCTATAAATCGACTGATGTAGTTCAACCTTCCCAGAAAACTCATCACCTCTTTCTTGATCTTCGGAGGAGGTAATTCCTAGATCACCTTGATCTTGGAAGGGTCAAGCTCAATGTCCCTCCTGCTGACAATAAATCCCAACAGCTTGCCAGTTGGCACTTCAAAAGCACACTTGGCAGGATTTAACTTCAAATTGTATCGGTGTATATGATCAAAGAATTTCCTCAAGTGTATCAAGTGATCCGAACTCTCGCGGGACTTGATTATGACATTATCTACATACACCTCGATCTTCTTGTGAATCATATCGTGAAAGATGGTCGTCATAGACCTTATGTAAGTGGCACCGACACTTTTGAGACCAAACGGCATCACCCGATAATGATATACACCCAAAGGCGTAATGAAAACGGTCTTTTCTGCATCTTCTTCATCCATCATGATCTGGTGGTAACCCGCATAACAATCCACAAATGACTACATCTCATGCTTAGCACAGTTATCAATGAGAATGTGAATGTTTGGCAATGGAATATTATCTATCGGTCTAGCTTTGTTGAGATCTCTGTAGTCAACACAAATTCTGATTTTTCCGTCTTTCTTGGCAACCGAAACAACGTTGGCTAACCAAGTCGGATATTGCGTCACTTCCACTACTTGAGACTCGATCTGTTTGGTAATTGATATACCGTGAGTTTACGGTATTTCTAATACATTTCACTTACAATTTGTGTGTGTCTAGGGCCTTTTTGTATTGGATTTTATGTGTTTTTGTCATAATTTGCAGGAAAGATGTTCAGGCACGGAAGTAAAAAGAGAGCTGAAAGAACTGCAGAAAAGGGCATCTATGGAAGTGATCTACAGATCGTAGGTCCATTGACGCTCCGTAGGTGATGGCCGTAGATCAGCAGGGAAGGCAAATCAGGGAAATCTAACCAAGGGTGGAACCACGGTGGCCATTGACGGTCCGTAGATTGATCTACGGACCGTACTGTTGATCCGTAGATTGATACTGTGAGGGTTCCAGTACCTGATTTTTGGAAGATTCTAAGTGTGGAGCTACGGAATGGGATTGACGAACCGTAGATCGATGTAGGTCCGTACTGCAGCTCCGTCGTTTGCTTCAGAGAATCATTCTTTTTGAAGTTGAAATATTTTCTATGTCCTGGCTGACGGAAGGGACTCACGGATCGTAGATCCATTGACGGTCCGTGAGTCAGTCTCGTGGAATGAAGACGCATGCCTGAACAAACTTTCCTTGTTTTGTTTCCCTTTTAATTTAGGACTTGTTTTCTATAAATAGGGCATGTAAACCTCGTTTTTGGGTTAGACCTTATTACTTTTGTTTTACTTTGTGACTTTGGAATTCATTTTTGCAACCCTAGCAATTCTTGATTTCCAAAAGTTAGGTTTGAAGCTTTGGTTTGCAATTCAAGTTGAATTTCTGGGTTTATTTTTCTCAACTACGTAAGTTCATAATTCTTTCATCTAAAGCAATGAATTGTGTTCATATGAATATGGGTAACTAAACTCCACAACTAGGGTTGTGGGATCCATGAGCGATTAACAAAGTATGAATAGTAAATAAGCAATTCTTGAATAGTGTTTTGCATGCATTGATAATTCTTTCATTTAGAAGTCTTTTTAACGGTGGCCAACGTTAGAACTTGCCTCGTTACTACTTGCCGGACCAAGTAGGTAATTAACGAGAAAAGAATTATCAACATAGATTTAGTGTGATACTATCTAATAGGCTAGTGTCGATTGGTGCGAAGTAATAACTAAGCCAAACATCGATTATGATGTCTAATATGAGGTAAAGGTAAGGGTTAGTAAATTATACATACGTAGCCGGACCAAGGTGTAGGTTGAAATTCTCTAGATGCCAGACCAAGGATTTAGAGATACCTAACTTGTCACTTTGCATGTAATACACTAGGAAATGATTGCTATTACTAGGATTACTGAGTTATGAGCTTGTAGTGAACACGTATACCCTAGTTAATTCTCTCATCTTGATAACAACCAAAATTGACTTTTGTTTACTGATTACTTATTGAATTCTTACAATTTATTTCACAAATTCCCCCTTTTTAATTACTTGTTTCTGGAAGTAATTTGACTAAACGAATATAAGTGTAGGTTAAAGTTAAGTCTAAACCATTTTCCTCGTGGGATCGACCACAACCTACAAGTTGGGTTCTTTACTTGATAACGATCGCTTACGTTTCTTTAGGGAGGTGTAATTGAGCGTATCAAATTTTGGTGCCGCTGCCGGGGAAATTTGGCTTTTAGTTTAATTTTAATTACATTATTGAACTTTAGTCAAATATTTCCTAATTTTACTTTTTATTTTTATTTTTGTCTCTCTCAAGTTCTGACTCTAGTGTATGCCAAGGACACTGAGCCAAGGTGAACCACTTACTCCTTACGATCCAGAGTTGAACAGAACTTTACGAAGAATGAACAATCAAGGAATTTCAGTTAATCCTAACAGAGTAAATCTTGGCGATGTAGTTGAGTTACAACAGCCGAGAGTAGCTGGTGGGGAAAACCGGGGTCTAGCTGAAAATCAATTGGGAGATGCAATAAGGGTGCACGGTCCACCAGGCCCACAACTGCATGACAACTATAGGGGCAACGTGAATATTGCTGACTCTGATGGACCTCTAGTCTTACCCCCTTTGCCTCCGGGGCACACATTTGTGGTAACCAATAGCTTAATTCAGATGCTTACAGCGAGGGGCTTGTTCTCAGGGTTGCCATCGGAGAACCCACATGCTCTCATAAACAAGATAAGGGTGGCCTGCAAAAGCTGTGTTGGTAGACCAGACTTGGATATGGATGTCATTGGATTGCGAGTGTTCCCTCTATCACTGACAGGCGATGCTGCTATATGGTTCACTGAGCTTCCTTATAACTCAATCTATACATGGAACCAACTGAGAGATGTGTTC